CGCACGCCTGAAGCGTCGCTAAAACCGGATGAAACCGTGCTCGTCGCGTCGAATGTTAATAGTAGTGTGTCTGTGTTATTGAAAGTGTGCCCCATTACCGTGCGCAGACCGCGTGGTAAGGAAGTTGATACGTATGCGCTAATTGACGAAGGCTCTACCATATCGTTGATCGACGATGACTTAGCTCGCGAGTTAGGAACGGAAAGACCGGCAAAGCCGCTCAATATTAGGCATTTGCGCGACCATTTACGTAGACCGGAGTCGACTATTTCGGGCCTCTGATAGTTACGATAGGACGACGGCACGAAAAATGGTGGGTAGCACTATTCACGTGCTTAACGACGCGCGCGGTTCATTCAAAACTAGTTTACTCCCTGACAACGGACTCGGCGATATCGGCTTTACGGCGCATGGCGGCTAGGCGTGGGTTGCCACCGGTTATATACTCCGACAATGGCACAAATTTTCATGGGGCAAGTACAGAACTGCAACGGGCGATGGAAGACGGGGCACCGCAGCTGAAGGACTACGCGCTGACTCGGCGAACCGAATGAAAATTCATCGGACCGGGCGCGCCTAACCAGGGAGGTGCATGGGAGCGTCTCGTGCGCTCAGTGAAGACCGCACTCGAAGCCACTCTACATGAGAAGAGACCACGGGAGGAGACACTAGCGACGGTCCTAACAGAAGCAGAGAATACAGTAAACTCTCGACCGTTGATGCACGTACTGGTCGATAATAACGACGAAGAGGCGCTGACACCCAACCACTTCATCCTGTTGGGACCATCGGGCCTGCCAGTCACCGCGCCGTGCACACCCACCGATCGTCGGGCGTGGATAGCGGCGCAGCGGCTCGCCGACGAGTACTTGAGGCGCTGGGTGAAAGAGTACCTGCCGACGCTGGTTGCGCGCGGGGACTACCGAGACGTTCAGCAGCGACAAATTCAAGAAGAGGAACCCGTCGTGGTTGCGGACGGCAACCTACCAAGAAACCTGTGGCTGTGGGGGGTACTAAGACATTTCCTGGACCTGACGGCGTGGTGCGCAACGTCGAGGTCGGGATCAAGGGCGGAGTGCTGCGGCGACCCGTCAGGAAGATAGCCGTCCTCCCGAGGGAAGCTTAGGCTCGCAGGCTTCGCCGGAGGGAGGATGTTACGGACAGAGAAGGGAGCCGCCGCCCCGTCGCCCCTTCATACCCCGTTGCGCCCCGCACACCCCGTACACCGGCAGCAGATCACGCGATGTCGCCGACCAATCAGCGCGCGGCATCGCCTCACGACGCTACTCACATACTGAGACGCTCTCTTGTGAGATATAAGAAGGGCGTTTTGGTCTGTGAGCTGTTCATTTCGACGGTTCATTTCGGCAGTTCATTTCGAAAGCGGCACTCGAAGACAACAGCAAGAGAAGAAGCATCAAGAGAAATCAAAAGATACTCCATTGAAGATTGAAGAGTGAAGACTCCCCTCTCTGTATATAGTTTATTAGTGCCGCATTTGTAAATATTTGAATACAGTATAGTCTATGTTACCATCTTTCCTTTAAGCAGTATCTAGCGTAGTAATTAGTCAGTCAACCAGTTTTATACATTAAATTCATACAGTCCACTACAGTCCCTAATATTCTTGGTCCTTCGCCTCCGGATAAGAAACCAGAAGCATTGTAGTCCCTAATAGTGGGATTGGTTTTAACGAGATTCGAGTCACCAACAATCCTTTTAGCACGCATTTTATAACGTCCAAAGGTGCTAGGTGGAGTTTTCCTGCACCAGTCCATATATTGTAGCAATACTCCATGCACGACCGAATAAAAATAATAATTAAGGCTAACCTGAAGTTTTTTGTTACACAATGTCATATAGCAGCGAAGTTACGTTCTAAACAAAATTTAATTGTTTTCCAGAGTAATAAGTAAATACACAAAACAATACCTCTGTGATTTGTCCTTAAAATTATTGCATACAAATTTTTAATAACTTACCTATATTTTTCAACATTGTATTTAAAATAAAAGTGACAAAATTATTTTTACTGTATATTCTTCCATTGAAATAATTGCTTGATAGAATCAGCTTTAATAATCACCATCATCTTCATCAACCTTGAAGTAGGTATTGATCTTTCCTAAGTTAGAAAAGGTTTACTGTAATTGACACGGGTAACTGCTATCAGATGCTGTGAAATTAAGAGGAAATGTCGGCTTTCATTATCATATTTTGTGTAAAGTTTATTACGACATTCATCAAGTGCATTATTTATTAGTTATCATTCTGAAAATGTTAGTTTCTGGGTTATTTATATCTAGATTTCACCGCTACTCACGTATACTTAAAACTAATTCAAATTTCTCCACATTAATAATAATGGATAAGATTTACTCATTTAAGTTAAAACGTCTGGTGTCTAATCCAAGAGATTTTACAAAATTACATTGTTAAGCTTTGAAATTTCTTTATTAGTTTGAGGTGCTTAAATTGTGTCTTGATTTTCGTCCTTATTTGGTTTTAATTAATTTTTTCAATGTACTTTCACAAATAAAGCTGTATTTTTTAAGAATTTATAACTAATATTTGACTAAGATTCTAGAAAACTTGTATGCCACCAAAAAAATTCTGTAAAAAACTAGCCAAGTCTCGATGGAGCTGCTTGTTTATCTCTAAAAAGTAATGAAATCTAGGCAAAGTCGTGCCAAGTCTAAGGTTCCTTACTGCGATTTCTTTATTATTATAGTTAATGTTGTGTGACTTGGCCGTTGAAGGGTACACAAGGGTACAAAACCAGGTGGTACATGACACCCTTGCACCAATCTGCCGCCAGAACCGCTACCCATTGACGATGGAAAATTCCCACTTGGAAAACGTTGATTGAATAACCAGTCAATTGTAGGCTTGATAAAGTTGCGTATTTCAATAATACTTTTGTATAGGCGAGCCTGAAACAAACAGTATAAAAAATTATTTCCAGTACAGGCGAACGTCGAATCGTTGATAGAAGTCCGTCTGTACGTCTATTTTATGTTAGATCGGTGATGGATTTGACGCTCCAAAAAGAAGAGAGCAGAAGTCAGCATTGTCAATGCTGAATGCATGTGTTGCACAATCAACAACCGCCTAAAATGAGACACTAGCGTCCAATTACCAATACCAGTATGGGCTATTATCTCGCTTAACAAACATAGGTAGTTACAACAGATATAACATTACGTGTAAACACAATTACGTGCAACATTACGTGTAAACGCAACTTTATCAAGCCTACAATTGACTGGTTATTCAATCAACGTTTTCCAAGTGGGAATTTTCCATCGTCAATGGGTAGCGGTTCTGGCGGCAGATTGGTGCAAGGGTGTCATGTAGCACCTGGTTTTGTACCCTTGTGTACCCTTCAACGGCCAAGTCACACAACATTAACTATAATAATAAAGAAATCGCAGTAAGGAACCTTAGACTTGGCACGACTTTGCCTAGATTTCATTACTTTTTAGAGATAAACAAGCAGCTCCATCGAGACTTGGCTAGTATTTTACAGAATGTTTTTGGTGGGATTTCACTGCTTTTTGTAGAAACGTGGACACATTGATTTATATTATTAGATTTTCTTATTTGACACATTTTTTTTTTCTTTTTAGGTGTAGTTTTTTTATTATTACAATTCTTTCTTTTCTTTTTTTCCGGTTCTAATTCTTGTACAGTAGCAACAGTTTTTCGTATTGCCCATTCGCGTTCATTATTTATACTTTTAGACGGTTTAGATGGTTTAATTTCTGAAAGATCGGCGCGGTATTTACGCCTAAGCCGGTTGTATTCGGTGATTGCTGAAGCTTGAGCTTTTAAACTCTTGAAGTCAACATTTATGAGGTGCACCCCATGAAGATTGGTTACTCGTGAAAGCGCCACGTAGGCTTGGCCACAAGTGAATATGGAGGTGCCAATGTCCATGAGGGCATTTTTTAGACTTAGACCTTGGCTCTTGTGAATTGTTAGGGCATACGCCACACAGATTGGGAATTGTTCTCTGTACACGTATGCCCGGGGTATGATCTCAAATTTTGACTTAATAGGCAATAATTCGTGAATCAAATTATTAGCGAATTTGACTACCAATTGTTTAGGCTTTGTTCGGTCTTCCGGGTCCCACCTCACTTTTTGTACAACGCCTATTGATCCATTCACTAAACCTAAACTAACATCAATATTTCTCCTAAGCATTACTTTAGCTCCCTCTTTAATAATTATAGTTTCTTCCAGTCCAGCAGTCACCGACGCATCATCTTCATATTTTTGTAAACACGCCCGAGCTTTCGTTATCATACATTTTGAACAATCCAAGGAATCTTTAGCAACTAACTTCATCTCGGGGTGCGGAATCGCTTTTAACATTGCATCATTTAACTGCATACACATATTTCTAGTCGGTAGTAAACAAACAGTATCTTCTGGTAAGTCCCTCAAACATTGTGCTATTTCCATTAACCTTCCTTTATTGGAATGCGAGAGCAGAGGTATCAATCGGTTAGACAGTATATCTCTGTCTGATTGAGTTGTCACTCCTACTTTGATTCTTTTTAACATTTCTACAAATGTAGAATCATCCAGCTGTCTCATATTCAACGTAAGTTCGTCGTAAGTAAAAAGTTCAGCCCATAAGTTTGGAATACTTAAGGAGCCTATAAGTTTATTAATTTCTGAAGGGGTTAGTTTTTCAAATGGCGACTTTTCTCTAACGGGTGGAAGTTGCAAAAGATCCCCAAGCACTAAAATATGTTTTTTTCCAAACCAACCATCTTCTACATCAGAATTATCAAACACTTCGCAAAAACGAAGATTTATGTAGGCTAAAGTTACATTAGATATCATAGACACTTCATCTATAATAAATAATTCGACAGTTTTTAAGTCTGTCCTTAAAACTTGAAGTACTTCGTCTGAAAGCGGTTTGTATTTAGGAGTTTGTTTTTGCTCTACGGGCAGTTGTAGTAATCTGTGAACAGTTAATCCGTTTACGTTAAATGCTGCAATTCCAGTCGGGGCAGTAATAGCAACATTTTTATGCAGGTTGTTTTTAATCCATATTTTAAGGTTTTTATTAAATAGCTCTTGCCGGTGCCACCGGTGCCACTAACAAAATGTCGCAATATTTCTTTTTTGTTTGTAATTTTATTAGTGACTGTATCAAATACTTTTTTTTGATCAGAATTCAGTTTATCTATCATTGCTTGCTCATTCATTTCAGAAATATCCGCTTCAACTAAATTAAAGTTGTTTAAATCTTCCATAGCATTTACCGCTTCCAAAGCTAAAGGATTGTCGGGGCTTTCATCTACTATGTTTTCCCTTTCTTCGTTTAGTTCTGCTACTTTTTCTTCTACCTTTTCAAAAGCTGTTTGTAAAATATTTCGTAATTCAGTCCGTAAATTTCCGTAGCGTAACGCTTCTTGTAAATCGTCCTTTACAGCATTAAATGTTTCTGTGTATGTCTCATGTTGCATTTTTAGGTCATCTAGTATTCTCCAAGGTTTAAATAATAACAACAAGGAAAAGAAATATTTTTCTGGCATTTGCTCTACATCATACAGGTAATGGTTAATTAGGTATGGTCTATCTCGTTTTTTTAAGTATTTTTTATTTGCTAAAACATAATACTCTACTTTATTTGAAACAGGCCGTGTATTAACTAAATCATAGTCTTTCGAAAAGTCAAATAGATTCATGTCTTGTAATTCGTCAGGTCTGGCAGGGTAAACGTTGTCTATCCAAGGATCGTAATATATGTCAGTGGAATTCGGGTCCAGTCCAGTCATTTCAGATTTCGATTTAACCCTGCGATTACGATGAATGTTTACGTCTAACCATCTTATTGTTGTTTGTGGGTCCGTGCCGTAAAGTGGTATTCCCAATAATGTATCGCTGGCTTCTAAAGCTCCGCATTCTCGATTCGCTAATACTCTGAGACCAATATTATACCGGCTTCTAAGACTTTTTGTAGAGTTAATATCGTTAAACATGTCGGTTGCATGGGTCTTTTCAGTTTTAGTAGTATACTTGGTCACATAATAGTTCAAAATGGCTGTTTTCTCTCCAACATATTGAATGTCAATATTTCCATTCCACGCCAACAGCAAAGCGGGATTGTAGTCATTAATCATATCTGACTCCTTCGAGCGGACAATATTGTAGAGCCGATTATTAGAGCTGAGAGTTTTTCTTGCCGCTATAGATTGAAAAATGTCTCTTATGATAAGAGAATCCGTCACAGTTCAAGGAAATCCAAAACCGCAAACTGAAACGAATCGGGGGGCACGGCAGTGCCCCCGCCAAGTCGAGCGCGAAGCAAACACTGCCGTACCATCCTTTACTGGAACCGTTTCGCCGCATTTTCAGGCCTCTATTTGAGAACCTCCGGATAAGACCAGATCGCAGAAATTTTCGTCATCTAGTAAGCTATAATCACATACTTAAAATCCAAAATTTCAAGTCTGTAGGTCATTTAGTTCCGAAGTTAAGCGAAAGCAAAGTTTCGCATTTATGACACTCACTCACTCATGATCATCAGAATAGAACTAGTACTTCCCATAAACTCAGAGAGCTGAAATTTGGTACAGAATTAGGGTTTAATGGCCACATAAAGGGAAAACTATAAAAACTAGGATAATCGAAGATCTGGAGTACCTGGTGACCCTGATTAGAAAACACAAGAGCCCAACCAAACTATTAGATGAGATCGACATACCGCCCTTGCAAAATATATTTATAACTTGGTAGGCCGCTTTATTTGATGTCAAAAATCGAAGGTCTAAAGTATCTGATGAAAAACCTTCAGCTGGTCTCAGCTGTATTAGAGATATGGTAATGCCCCCTTCTACCATTAGTACATAAAAAAATCTACTGTCATTGCAAAAATCCAGCGTAGTGGGACACATCTTCTAATTTAATCTAGCCTATAGCGTCCCACTGCTGGGCGAATGCCTCCCCTTCTGCTTTTAATACGCATATAAATAAAATTAAAGGAAAACTCTGGATGACACTAGACTGGCTTTTATACTTATACTTACAAGTTTACAAGAAAAAATAATCGAACGATTAACTTTATTCTATTCGAACATTAATCAAATTAAATAAACAAATTACACTAAAATACTCATTTCGCTCAAAATTTGGTCAAAATATAATGCATTGAACTAAGAGTGGCGGTGATACCTGCACACGTCGCTAGATGGCGCTGACTGCATTTTAATGGTCAAAATATAATGCATTGAATTAAGAGTGGCGGTGATACCTGCACACGTCGCTAGATGGCGCTGACTGTATTTTAAAATGCGCCGACGTTTTGTTTTTGCGATAACCTTATAGTAAGTAAGTACTTTTCTAGTATTATAGGTTAAGTCAATTTAGTTAGATATTACTTCGTTTCGTTTAAAAATATCATTAATTTAGTTGTATTTCAATACTAGGTAGAGGTAATATCTTTGGTAGAAAGTTCATTGATAATTCATTATATTGACACGTGTCTAATAATTAAGAGTTAACCCTTTGTTTATAGTTTATAGATGAGTAGACCGAGTAATATTTTCTTTGAGTTTTCTTTTTTGTATTAAGACAAAAGAAGTCTTAAAGATATAGGTTTTTATTGTTTTAGTCTAAATTAGTCTAAATATTATCGGTATTTCTGATTTGTTGTCCATATACTAAAGGTCGTTGAGTTTATTTATTTGATTCGCAAGATAATATCGTAAAAAATGTCGATAATATTAAAAGACGACGGTGAACTTAGTGGCTACCAAGAAGTTGGTATGCCCAAAGATGGGTATTTGTCTCTTCCATTCAATATCTTTCTTGGTGTATGGTAGAACTGACTCAACTTGCAGTATCAGATCCGCTATAGTTGCATACGTTGCTGACCATTGGGACGAAATGCAAGTGTACACGTGTGATGCTGATGGTGACGTATACACTAGCGCGCAATCCTACATGAGCGATATGATGAAACCCACTACTTACGGCTCAGCTTCTGAGCTTATGGCTGCTGGAAAAATCTATCCTTTCACTTTTGAAGTGTATGAGAACGGTATACTAAGAGGTTCCTTTGGCGATGCTGGCCAAAAAAAGTGTTTACGTTTTACCGGTAGTTACTTAAGCGGCCACTACGATGTACTCATTCCTATACGAGATGCCTCTCCATCTTCTTCCCCCTTTCATCCCATAACATTAAATTCTGTAACATCAGATACTGCTATATGTACATTATATGACTTAAACTCTACGCAAAGTGAATTGAACATGAAGCATAAGGGAAAAGGCGGTAGACCGACTAAAACAAAAAAAGGAAGACCTAAGGTATCCGAACTGTCACGATCTGAACAACTTAGAGAAGCCGCGGCTCGTTACCGACAAAAACACCCTGAAAACCGTCGAGAAACCGTAGAACTTTATAATTCTTTACATCCAGGCGCCAACCGGGCATCTGTAGCACAGTACAGTGCTTCACACCCTGAAGTAAACCGGGCAGCTGTAGCACGCTACAGTGCTTCACATCCGGAAGTCAATCAGGCTGCAGTATCTCGCTACCGTGCTTCACATCCGGAAGTAAACAGACAAAACTTAGCGCGAAAGAGATCTACTGACAAACTAAAGTTTAAGGGAAACATAGAAACAATCACTAGAGTTCTTACAACTAAACTTAAAGATAGATTAGAATCAGAAAAAATAGTTAAGTGGACTCTCCATAATAGGCAAAGAACTTTAGAAGATTTGAACAAGACTGCAAATAAATTAAAAGAAAAAATAGTAGCGGCATTAGAGAAGTTAAAAATATGTCCTGAAAGCACGGATATTAAAGACAAATTTGAAGCATTTCTTGGTAAATCCGAACATCGCAGTAATCAGGAGCCATTTTATTCTGAACAAGCTTATAAGGTTTATGAAGATAAAGAAAAACCTATTGAGATTGATGATACTGGCAAAGCAAAAACCTTTACAAATATTAAGAAAATGTCCAAAAGTCTGACATGGTCTTGTTCGGATTCATTGTGCGTATTAAATGATGGAATCTTACTAAAATTGAAAAACATTTTCGAAGTATTGAGCCTCCAAACTACTCCGCAAATTTACTCGATGTCTGTAGAAACAGGAAAACTGCAAGAAAATGTCAACTTTATTAATAACGTTAAATCGCATTTCCCACATCTTCGGACTATTATCAGAGAGATTTATCAAATACACAGCGATTGTAAGTTATTGCTTGATATTGACAATTCTTTGGCAACTGGTAATGTGGATAAGCTTATGGAGCTAGGAAAGCAACCGACGGTAGGAAGTGCCGTTGTAGAGCGTACACCTGATAGTGAAATCGTGGAAGATGAAATAATAAAAAGTAATAAGGTTGCTTTTAAATTATTTTCCAAAAAAAGTGTAGACACACCGAAACTGGATTGTATGTCGTGCAATAAACTTTGTTACTCTAGGGATATTAGTTCCATAGAACGATTAAGAAAGCCCATATCAACAGATGTTTGGAAACAGCTCCTGAACTACTATAATTCTAGCCTAATAACTCACAGTCCGTACATATGCCACACATGCCTTGCTAAGATTCGTGCTAACCAAATGCTTGCTGTCTGTGTCCTCAATAACATGCACGTAAGCACTTTTCCACCAGAAATAGCTCAGCTGAACGACTATGAAAACATTTTAATCCAACGCGCTAAAGCGTTTCAGGTGGTTGTTACAATGAATCCTGTGGCTAATAAACGTCTACTAATCGTCAGATGGTTAAAAAAGTAAAGGGCAGGACTTTTCATTTACCACTTCCGATGGAAGAAACCCTAAAAAAACTCCCAAAACCTGAAGACGCAATAATTGAAAACCCAGAACTTTATATTATAGTCCGAAGTACGCCAAACAAAGCAAATATTATATGGCAAGACATTGTTGACGTTAATAAAGTGTACAAAGCATTACAATACCTCAAAAATGTAAACGAACATTATGCTTATATCAAATTAACAGATTTACCTAACCAGCTCATAAACATACATGAAAATATTCAACAAAATGTTACAAATACACCAGATAATACTGAAGAAGGCATTTTAGAAGATGGTACAGCAGCACTGTTGACCCAAATCACAAGAGAAAAGGAAACTGATTATGAGCATTACACCATATATCCTTTGAATGAACGGAGACAAAATGCACCAGCTTCAGAACTCTACCAAATGCTCAAAGTAAACACAGCACCGATTGATGCCCGAGATAAAGACCTCGACGTTAAATGTTTTCCACATTTATATGTAGAAGGAAAATACGGCCAATTTCATAATCGGCAGCAGAAAGTAACTTCTAGTGAATTTATTAAAGCCCGGCTTATGTCAAAACATCCTCAATTTAGACTCAACCAACAGTATCTATTTTTCTTATTGAATGATGCTAATATGCGCCAATTAAACTCCGGAATCTTTTTTAAAATGAATTGTGCTAATCAGAGAGATAAAATTACGGTAGAACGGTATCTCCAAATGCTTAAAAATGATGAGCTGGAAGGTGATTTGACCGCAATATTTGGCCGACTGAGAAACACCGAACAGTTTTGGAAGAAACCAAGAAACGATGTAAATTGTATGACTCAAAATTACGATCCAGCAACTTGGTTTCTTACCATGAGTCCCTCTGAGTGGATGTGGGAGGATTTTGGAGAGTACATCAGGCAAGTAAATGGCGTTAAAATGGCTAATAAAATAATCAGTGAATTGGTTGCTCTTGACCCCGTATCTACCTCACATATTATAGATAACAAGTTTCATGCAATGTTAGACTTAATAACTAGTTCAGATGAGCCTTTAGGTAAGATTATTCATTACGTTTGGCGTCGAGAGTACCAATCTAGGGGTGCTCAGCACTTCCATTTAATGTTGTGGGTTAAGGATGCACCTATTCTACATAAGTAATCTATAGACGAGGTAGCGTCATTTATTTCTAAATACGTGACATGTGCCATTCCAAAAAAAGATATTTCTCCTACTTTACATCAACGGGTCACTTCGTATCAAATGCATAAACATAACAGTTATTGCATGAGGAGAAAGAAAACGAAAAAAGGATCCCACCAAAAACATTCTGTAAAAAACTAGCCAAGTCTCGATGGAGCTGCTTGTTTATCTCTAAAAAGTAATGAAATCTAGGCAAAGTCGTGCCAAGTCTAAGGTTCCTTACTGCGATTTCTTTATTATTATAGTTAATGTTGTGTGACTTGGCCGTTGAAGGGTACACAAGGGTACAAAACCAGGTGCTACATGACACCCTTGCACCAATCTGCCGCCAGAACCGCTACCCATTGACGATGGAAAATTCCCACTTGGAAAACGTTGATTGAATAACCAGTCAATTGTAGGCTTGATAAAGTTGCGTATTTCAATAATACTTTTGTATAGGCGAGCCTGAAACAAACAGTATAAAAAATTATTTCCAGTACAGGCGAACGTCGAATCGTTGATAGAAGTCCGTCTGTACGTCTATTTTATGTTAGATCGGTGATGGATTTGACGCTCCAAAAAGAAGAGAGCAGAAGTCAGCATTGTCAATGCTGAATGCATGTGTTGCACAATCAACAACCGCCTAAAATGAGACACTAGCGTCCAATTACCAATACCAGTATGGGCTATTATCTCGCTTAACAAACATAGGTAGTTACAACAGATATAACATTACGTGTAAACACAATTACGTGCAACATTACGTGTAAACGCAACTTTATCAAGCCTACAATTGACTGGTTATTCAATCAACGTTTTCCAAGTGGGAATTTTCCATCGTCAATGGGTAGCGGTTCTGGCGGCAGATTGGTGCAAGGGTGTCATGTAGCACCTGGTTTTGTACCCTTGTGTACCCTTCAACGGCCAAGTCACACAACATTAACTATAATAATAAAGAAATCGCAGTAAGGAACCTTAGACTTGGTACGACTTTGCCTAGATTTCATTACTTTTTAGAGATAAACAAGCAGCTCCGTCGAGCCTTGGCTAGTATTTTACACAATGTTTTTGGTGGGATTTCACTGCTTTTTGTAGAAACGTGGACACATTGATTTATATTATTAGATTTTCTTATTTGACACATTTTTTTTTCTTTTTAGGTGTAGTTTTTTTATTATTACAATTCTTTCTATTCTTTTTTTCCGGTTCTAATTCTTGTACAGTAGCAACAGTTTTTCGTATTGCCCATTCGCGTTCATTATTTATACTTTTAGACGGTTTAGATGGTTTAATTTCTGAAAGATCGGCGCGGTATTTACGCCTAAGCCGGTTGTATTCGGTGATTGCTGAAGCTTGAGCTTTTAAACTCTTGAAGTCAACATTTATGAGATGCACCCCATGAAGATTGGTTACTCGTGAAAGCGCCACGTAGGCTTGGCCACAAGTGAATATGGAGGTGCCAATGTCCATGAGGGCATTTTTTAGACTTAGACCTTGGCTCTTGTGAATTGTTAGGGCATACGCCACACAGATTGGGAATTGTTCTCTGTACACGTATGCCCGGGGTATGATCTCAAATTTTGACTTAATAGGCAATAATTCGTGAATCAAATTATTAGCGAATTTGACTACCAATTGTTCAGGCTTTGTTCGGTCTTCCGGGTCCCACCTCACTTTTTGTACAACGCCTATCGATCCATTCACTAAACCTAAACTAACATCAATATTTCTCCTAAGCATTACTTTAGCTCCCTCTTTAATAATTATAGTTTCTTCCAGTCCAGCAGTCACCGACGCATCATCTTCATATTTTTGTAAACACGCCCGAGCTTTCGTTATCATACATTTTGAACAATCCAAGGAATCTTTAGCAACTAACTTCATCTCGGGGTGCGGAATCGCTTTTAACATTGCATCATTTAACTGCATACACATATTTCTAGTCGGTAGTAAACAAACAGTATCTTCTGGTAAGTCCCTCAAACATTGTGCTATTTCCATTAACCTTCCTTTATTGGAATGCGAGAGCAGAGGTATCAATCGGTTAGACAGTATATCTCTGTCTGATTGAGTTGTCACTCCTACTTTGATTCTTTTTAACATTTCTACAAATGTAGAATCATCCAGCTGTCTCATATTCAACGTAAGTTCGTCGTAAGTAAAAAGTTCAGCCCATAAGTTTGGAATACTTAAGGAGCCTATAAGTTTATTAATTTCTGAAGGGGTTAGTTTTTCAAATGGCGACTTTTCTCTAACGGGTGGAAGTTGCAAAAGATCCCCAAGCACTAAAATATGTTTTTTTCCAAACCAACCATCTTCTACATCAGAAGTATCAAACACTTCGCATAAACGAAGATTTATGTAGGCTAAAGTTACATTAGATATCATAGACACTTCATCTATAATAAATAATTCGACAGTTTTTAAGTCTGTCCTTAAAACTTGAAGTACTTCGTCTGAAAGCGGTTTGTATTTAGGAGTTTGTTTATGCTCAACGGGCAGTTGTAGTAATCTGTGAACAGTTAATCCGTTTACGTTAAATGCTGCAATTCCAGTCAGGGCAGTAATAGCAACATTTTTATGCAGGTTGTTTTTAATCCATATTTTTAAGGTTTTTATTAAATAGCTCTTTCCGGTGCCACCGGTGCCACTAACAAAATGTCGCAATATTTCTTTTTTGTTTGTAATTTTATTAGTGACTGTATCAAATACTTTTTTTTGATCAGAATTCAGTTTATCTATCATTGCTTGCTCATTCATTTCAGAAATATCCGCTTCAACTAAAGTAAAGTTGTTTAAATCTTCCATAGCATTTACCGCTTCCAAAGCTAAAGGATTGTCGGGGCCTTCATCTACTATGTTTTACCTTTCTTCGTTTAGTTCTGCTACTTTTTCTTCTACCTTTTCAAAAGCTGTTTGTAAAATATTTCGTAATTCAGTCCGTAAATTTCCGTAGCGTAACGCTTCTTGTAAATCGTCCTTTACAGCATTAAATGTTTCTGTGTATGTCTCATGTTGCATTTTAGGTCATCTAGTATTCTCCAAGGTTTAAATAATAACAACAAGGAAAAGAAATATTTTTCTGGCATTTGCTCTACATCATACAGGTAATGGTTAATTAGGTATGGTCTATCTCGTTTTTTTAAGTATTTTTTATTTGCTAAAACATAATACTCTACTTTATTTGAAACAGGCCGTGTATTAACTAAATCATAGTCTTTCGAAAAGTCAAATAGATTCATGTCTTGTAATTCGTCAGGTCTGGCAGGGTAAACGTTGTCTATCCAAGGATCGTAATATATGTCAGTGGAATTCGGGTCCAGTCCAGTCATTTCAGATTTCGATTTAACCCTGCGATTACGATGAATGTTTACGTCTAACCATCTTATTGTTGTTTGTGGGTCCGTGCCGTAAAGTGGTATTCCCAATAATGTATCGCTGGCTTCTAAAGCTCCGCATTCTCGATTCGCTAATACTCTGAGACCAATATTATATAACCGGCTTCTAAGACTTTTTGTAGAGTTAATATCGTTAAACATGTCGGTTGCATGGGTCTTTTCAGTTTTAGTAGTATACTTGGTCACATAATAGTTCAAAATGGCTGTTTTCTCTCCAACATATTGAATGTCAATATTTCCATTCCACGCCAACAGCAAAGCGGGATTGTAGTCATTAATCATATCTGACTCCTTCGAGCGGACAATATTGTAGAGCCGATTATTAGAGCTGAGAGTTTTTCTTGCCGCTATAGATTGAAAAATGTCTCTTATGATAAGAGAATCCGTCACAGTTCAAGGAAATCCAAAACGGCAAACGGAAACGAATCCTTTTTTCGTTTTCTTTCTCCTCATGCAATAACTGTTATGTTTATGCATTTGATACGAAGTGACCCGTTGATGTAAAGTAGGAGAAATATCTTTTTTTGGAATGGCACATGTCACGTATTTAGAAATAAATGACGCTACCTCGTCTATAGATTACTTATGTAGAATAGGTGCATCCTTAACCCATAACATTAAATGGAAGTGCTGAGCACCCCTAGATTGGTACTCTCGACGCCAAACGTAATGAATAATCTTACCTAAAGGCTCATCTGAACTAGTTATTAAGTCTAACATTGCATGAAACTTGTTATCTATAATATGTGAGGTAGATACGGGGTCAAGAGCAACCAATTCACTGATTGTTTTATTAGCCATTTTAACGCCATTTACTTGCCTGATGTACTCTCCAAAATCCTCCCACATCCACTCAGAGGGACTCATGGTAAGAAACCAAGTTGCTGGATCGTAATTTTGAGTCATACAATTTACATCGTTTCTTGGTTTCTTCCAAAACTGTTCGGTGTTTCTCAGTCGGCCAAATATTGCGGTCAAATCACCTTCCAGCTCATCATTTTTAAGCATTTGGAGATACCGTTCTACCGTAATTTTATCTCTCTGATTAGCACAATTCATTTTAAAAAAGATTCCGGAGTTTAATTGGCGCATATTAGCATCATTCAATAAGAAAAATAGATACTGTTGGTTGAGTCTAAATTGAGGATGTTTTGACATAAGCCGGGCTTTAATAAATTCACTAGAAGTTACTTTCTGCTGCCGATTATGAAATTGGCCGTATTTTCCTTCTACATATAAATGTGGAAAACATTTAACGTCGAGGTCTTTATCTCGGGCATCAATCGGTGCTGTGTTTACTTTGAGCATTTGGTAGAGTTCTGAAGCTGGTGCATTTTGTCTCCGTTCATTCAAAGGATATATGGTGTAATGCTCATAATCAGTTTCCTTTTCTCTTGTGATTTGGGTCAACAGTGCTGCTGTACCATCTTCTAAAATGCCTTCTTCAGTATTATCTGGTGTATTTGTAACATTTTGTTGAATATTTTCATGTATGTTTATGAGCTGGTTAGGTAAATCTGTTAATTTGATATAAGCATAATGTTCGTTTACATTTTTGAGGTATTGTAATGCTTTGTACACTTTATTAACGTCAACAATGTCTTGCCATATAATATTTGCTTTGTTTGGCGTACTTCGGACTATAATATAAAGTTCTGGGTTTTCAATTATTGCGTCTTCAGGTTTTGGGAGTTTTTTTAGGGTTTCTTCCATCGGAAGTGGTAAATGAAAAGTCCTGCCCTTTACTTTTTTAACCATCTGACGATTAGTAGACGTTTATTAGCCACAGGATTCATTGTAACAACCACCTGAAACGCTTTAGCGCGTTGGATTAAAATGTTTTCATAGTCGTTCAGCTGAGCTATTTCTGGTGGAAAAGTGCTTACGTGCATGTCATTGAGGACACAGACAGCAAGCATTTGGTTAGCACGAATCTTAGCAAGGCATGTGTGGCATATGTACGGACTGTGAGTTATTAGGCTAGAATTATAGTAGTTCAGGAGCTGTTTCCAAACATCTGTTGATATGGGCTTTCTTAATCGTTCTATGGAACTAATATCCCTAGAGTAACAAAGTTTATTGCACGACATACAATCCAGTTTCGGTGTGTCTACACTTTTTTTGGAAAATAATTTAAAAGCAACCTTATTACTTTTTATTATTTCATCTTCCACGATTTCACTATCAGGTGTACGCTCTACAACGGCACTTCCTACCGTCGGTTGCTTTCCTAGCTCCATAAGCTTATCCACATTACCAGTTGCCAAAGAATTGTCAATATCAAGCAATAACTTACAATCGCTGTGTATTTGATAAATCTCTCTGATAATAGTCCGAAGATGTGGGAAATGCGATTTAACGTTATTAATAAAGTTGACATTTTCTTGCAGTTTTCCTGTTTCTACAGACATCGAGTAAATTTGCGGAGTAGTTTGGAGGCTCAATACTTCGAAAATGTTTTTCAATTTTAGTAAGATTCCATCATTTAATACGCACAATGAATCCGAACAAGACCATGTCAGACTTTTGGACATTTTCTTAATATTTGTAAAGGTTTTTGCTTTGCCAGTATCATCAATCTCAATAGGTTTTTCTTTATCTTCATAAACCTTATAAGCTTGTTCAGAATAAAATGGCTCCTGATTACTGCGATGTTCGGATTTACCAAGAAATGCTTCAAATTTGTCTTTAATATCCGTGCTTTCAGGACATATTTTTAACTTCTCTAATGCCGCTACTATTTTTTCTTTTAATTTATTTGCAGTCTTGTTCAAATCTTCTAAAGTTCTTTGCCTATTATGGAGAGTCCACTTAACTATTTTTTCTGATTCTAATCTATCTTTAAGTTTAGTTGTAAGAACTCTAGTGATTGTTTCTATGTTTCCCTTAAACTTTAGTTTGTCAGTAGATCTCTTTCGCGCTAAGTTTTGTCTGTTTACTTCCGGATGTGAAGCACGGTAGCGAGATACTGCAGCCTGATTGACTTCCGGATGTGAAGCACTGTAGCGTGCTACAGCTGCCCGGTTTACTTCAGGGTGTGAAGCACTGTACTGTGCTACAGATGCCCGGTTGGCGCCTGGATGTAAAGAATTATAAAGTTCTACGGTTTCTCGACGGTTTTCAGGGTGTTTTTGTCGGTAACGAGCCGCGGCTTCTCTAAGTTGTTCAGATCGTGACAGTTCGGATACCTTAGGTCTTCCTTTTTTTGTTTTAGTCGGTCTACCGCCTTTTCCCTTATGCTTCATGTTCAATTCACTTTGCGTAGAGTTTAAGTCATATAATGTACATATAGCAGTATCTGATGTTACAGAATTTAATGTTATGGGATGAAAGGGGGAAGAAGATGGAGAGGCATCTCGTATAGGAATGAGTACATCGTAGTGGCCGCTTAAGTAACTACCGGTAAAACGTAAACACTTTTTTTGGCCAGCATCGCCAAAGGAACCTCTTAGTATACCGTTCTCATACACTTCAAAAGTGAAAGGATAGATTTTTCCAGCAGCCATAAGCTCAGAAGCTGAGCCGTAAGTAGTGGGTTTCATCATATCGCTCATGTAGGATTGCGCGCTAGTGTATACGTCACCATCAGCATCACACGTGTACACTTGCATTTCGTCCCAATGGTCAGCAATGTATGCAACTATAGCGGATCTGATACTGCAAGTTGAGTCAGTTCTACCATACACCAAGAAAGATATTGAATGGAAGAGACAAGACCCATCTTTGGGCATACCAACTTCTTGGTAGCCACTAAGTTCACCGTCGTCTTTTAATATTATCGACATTTTTTTACGATATTATCTTGCGAATCAAATAAACTCAACGACCTTTAGTATATGGACAACAAATCAGAAATACCGATAATATTTAGACTAATTTAGACTAAAACAATAAAAACCTATATCTTTAAGACTTCTTTTGTCTTAATACAAAAAAGAAAACTCAAAGAAAATATTACTCGGTCTACTCATCTATAAACTATAAACAAAGGGTTAACTCTTAATTATTAGACAAGTGTCAATATAATGAATTATCAATGAACTTTCTACCAAAGATATTACCTCTACCTAGTATTGAAATACAACTAAATTAATGATATTTTTAAACGAAACGAAGTAATATCTAACTAAATTGACTTAACCTATAATACTAGAAAAGTACTTACTTACTATAAGGTTATCGCAAAAACAAAACGTCGGCGCATTTTAAAATACAGTCAGCGCCATCTAGCGACGTGTGCAGGTATCACCGCCACTCTTAATTCAATGCATTATATTTTGACCATTAAAATACAGTCAGCGCCATCTAGCGACGTGTGCAGGTATCACCGCCACTCTTAGTTCAATGCATTATATTTTGACCAAATTTTGAGCGAAATGAATATTTTAGTGTAATTTGTTTATTTAATTTGATTAATGTTCGAATAGAATAAAGTTAATCGTTCGATTATTTTTTCTTGTAAACTTGTAAGTATAAGTATAAAAGCCAGTCTAGTGTCATCCAGAGTTTTCCTTTAATTTTATTTATATGCGTATTAAAAGCAGAAGGGGAGGCATTCGCCCAGCAGTGGGACGCTATAGGCTAGATTAAATTAGAAGATGTGTCCCACTACGCTGGATTTTTGCAATGACAGTAGATTTTTTTATGTACTAATGGTAGAAGGGGGCATTACCATATCTCTAATACAGCTGAGACCAGCTGAAGGTTTTTCATCAGATACTTTAGACCTTCGATTTTTGACATCAAATAAAGCGGCCTACCAAGTTATAAATATATTTTGCAAGGGCGGTATGTCGATCTCATCTAATAGTTTGGTTGGGCTCTTGTGTTTTCTAATCAGGGTCACCAGGTACTCCAGATCTTCGATTATCCTAGTTTTTATAGTTTTCCCTTTATGTGGCCATTAAACCCTAATTCTGTACCAAATTTCAGCTCTCTGAGTTTATGGGAAGTACTAGTTCTATTCTGATAATCATGAGTGAGTGAGTGTCATAAATGCGAAACTTTGCTTTCGCTTAACTTCGGAACTAAATGACCTACAGACTTGAAATTTTGGATTTTAAGTATGTGATTATAGCTTACTAGATGACGAAAATTTCTGCGATCTGGTCTTATCCATAGATTCTCAAATAGAGGCCTGTAAATGCGGCGAAACGGTTCCAGTAAAGGATGGTACGGCAGTGTTTGCTTCGCGCTCGACTTGGCGGGGGCACTGCCGTGCCCCCCGATTTATGAAGGAATATTAAAGTACCTATAAAATAAAAAAAATATAAATCTGTAAAAATATAACTGTAATAATAAAAAAATCGTTAAAACATCGAAGAACATTTGACATACAAAGTTCAAAAGCCAACAATATGACAAGTACCTATACAAAGTATTAAATTAATATAGCTTTGTATTATACCTATGGAGGCAGTTTACATGTAGATACATTGCACAAGGACAAACATCCAGAACCGAAATAATTATTTTTAGATCATACAAATACTTTTTACGTACGGGACACGACTTTGTTGCCCTCAGCTCTGCAACTCATTGCTATGACACTGCACCACAAAGCCGTCAATAAATTAGGTTGAAGGATTAACTTGCACCGTCAAACCAATGCGACAATTATTGCTTAAACATAACATAAGCTCTATCGCCTGTCACTCATATGGAAAGGCGTTGATTACGTACTTATATTTGGTACTATCCTGACACATCTCTCTCGCTTCTTTCACATCCATATAGCTACGCAACTAGATATAGCGCTACACCATAACGCTACGCTCGTCTGTCAAGGTAATTTTTTTCTTATCTTGTTCCTTCTTCAATATAACATCAATTTGGTCGATAAACTTTCCCGACTTTAAACGTCCTTTGCCGACTCTGCCACTAGAATCTATAGCATTTTGCATTTTCAATATTGCTTCTTTCATTCTTTTGTGACGCATCGTAATTATTATTAATAAATAATAATTAAATTCATTATTAAGACATTTAACATTTCATAGAAATTATATTTTAAACAATTAAAATTCAATATTAAGTATAAAGTTCGATTGATATAGAATATTGAATATTATAGTATAGTAAACGCATAAATTGTCTAAAAGCTTTTAGAAAAATTTACTTTGCAAATATCCGCGTTATAAAATAAAATGATCTGTTTTACCTAGTATGAAGAGCACCTCCCGCCCTACCTCAATTGCGTGCACTAATTGAGGTAGGGTGGGAGGTGCTCTTCATATTAGGTAAGACACATCATTTTATTTTATAACGCGGATATTTGCGAAGTAAATTTTTCTAAACGCTTTTATATAATGGATTTCCGCAAAGTAACGCCTAATTCTATTAATTATGCATAAATTGTCTTTAAAATTCTCTAAATTTATTAAAATCATGTTTGAAATATTCAAAATGTATTAAATAATATAAGTACAAATTAATTATATTGCAATTTAAAAATTAAAAAAAATTGTAATATAATTTAAAAAATGGATCAAAGTTGGAAAATGGAAAAAAAGTTGATGAAGGTGTTTTTGTATAAATCGGAAGTTTAGAAAGCCGTGCAACGTGGGACCCCATTCCCTTGAGGTGAACGGTAGACTCATGACACGCTCTGCGGCCAATTGGCCGTACTTATCGTGCAATTGGTGGTGATGCCTTACACTTACATCACATCTGCAGGAACGGGATCTGGCAGGTGGTGGCGCTCACGGAGGGCT